TTTTTTTTTTTTTTTTTTTTACTTCTACTCAGCAAAGCATATTGGAATTCAGCCAAAGAAGAGTGACCTCATCTCAGAATATAAGCCTGAATCTGCTTTAAGTGTGTGTGTGTGTGTGTGTGTGTGTGTGTGTGTGTGTTATCCATATCTGAAATTTAGTCCTTAATTATTTATAAAAATTTTTTAAAACACTCCATCATGACCAACTAGTCTGAACCCAGTTCTCCTGGTGAAACACCATGATCATGCTCTCTTCGGACTAGTTCAGTCCTTAGAGAAGGACAGAGAATTGGCCTTGGAGCCTCCCACTCCTCTTGAGGAAGTCTGATGTCGAGGAGACACTGAGTGGCCATCTGAAGATAAAGCCTTTGAGGCAGAATTCTCAAGAAATAAACTAAGCACTGTATGAGTTTATTTTGACTTTAGGAAAAGAAGCCAGGTAGCTTTTTAGCTGCCTTTTAGCTGCGGACTCAGTGCTGAACCCATCATTTCTTGTTTATAGAAGTAACTCTAACAGAAAGGCAGTAATTATCAGTGACTATTTGCTGTGATTATCAAGCAACTGGTCCACAACACAATTTATGAATTTAGGGCTAGGTGGGTATTTACCTGCAGTAGTTACTGATATCAAAATATGTTTACCATTGACTAAACATCAGGAAAATGTAAAAAAAAAAATGCCATGGTTTGGCACAAATCCTTAATTTTGGTAATGCAGAATTTTTGTTAAAATGCTTTTTAAATTTAATTAATTCATATTTAATTATATTTAATTAATTTATATTTAAATAATTTTATTAGAAATTAGCACTTTTCCTTGTGTCAGTTACTCAGAAAATTATTATATACATATGATTTAAGGAAGTTATTACATAGAAAACTTGTATAACATCTTTTTTATACCCAGCTGTCCCTCTCTTGTGGATTTGGATATACCATTCTTAATTATACCGTCTTCCGATCTGCTGTCTTTTTTGTAGAAGGGGTTAACTTTTTGTTCCCCAGGCTGGAGTGCAATGGCGCGATCTCGGCTCACCGCAACCTCCACCTCCTGGGTTCAGGCAATTCTCCTGCCTCAACCTCCTGAGTAGCTGGGATTACAGGCACGCACCACCATGCCCAGCTAATGTTTTGTATTTTTAGTAGAGACGGGGTTTCACCATGTTGACCAGGATGGTCTCGATCTCTTGACCTCGTGATCCATCTGCCTTGGGCTCCCAAAGTGCTGGGATTACAGGCTTGAGCCACCGCGCCCAGCAGTGGATATATCATTCTTGATATCAGTTGGAATAGCATTTTTGTGTTCTTCTGATTTAACATGTTTAGCTAAAAATAGAGAGAAAATATGAATTCTGTGCTTCTACACTGGTAAGATAAAGGCCTGGTGTGTGATGTGTCACCTGGCTTTCTGGATTGCCTCACAAAATTAAAAGTTGAATTTCAGAATGTATAGCTGTTTATGCTTAACAGAAGAGTTCCACTCAGATTCTTCTCAGCAGGGCACACTTAGATTTTTAGAGAATGATTGGAGTGGCCTACTGCTTTACCAGAGGGGTTGGCATGGAGATTTCTGTCACACTGCAGATTTTGTTGTTGCTGTTGTTTTGTTTTTTTAAAATGGAGTTTTGCTTTTGTCACCCAGGTGGAGTGCAGTGGCACAATCTTGACTCACTGCAACTTCTGTCTCCCAGGTTCAAATTATTCTCCTGCCTCAGCCTATCAAGAGCTGGGATTACAGGCACCCACCACCATGCCTGGCTAATTTTAGTGTTTTTAGTTGAGATGGGGTTTTGCCATGTTGGCCGGGCTGGTCTTGAACTCCTGACATTGTAGCAGGAGCGGCTGTGGGAAAGGATCTCTCAGACACTGAATACAGGAGGAGGAGGAAGGAATTTATTTCAGCTGGGAGCGAGGTGACATACGTGCCTAACAGCCAAGCTTATACTTTAGATGTTGCACGTGGAAGAATCTTAGGTTCATAGTTTTAGGACTCACATGCAAAAAGGTCTCTGTTCACAGTTTCAGGAATTACATATGAAAGGGTTTCGGTTTGATCTTGTTTTAAGTAAAAAAAGTGCCTTCTGGAGAGTTTCCCCAAGGACTAGCCTGTTGTTTTCAGGAAGGAGATTCAGGAGGCGCCACCTAGCCTGCTCTCTCTTTTATTGAGATGTACAGTGGATGACAGAGCGGGAGGGAACCCCAAATGCCTAGGTCTCCCTCCTCAACCTCAGGTGATCTGCCTGCCTTGGCCTCGCAGAATGCTGGGATTACAAGTGTGAGCCACTGTGCCTGGCCACATTGCAGGTTATATGCACTTAAAACCCTATGTAGCCAGGTGCGGTGGCTCACGCCTGTAATCCCAGCACTTTGGGAGGCCATGGTGGGTGGATCACAAGATCAGGAATTCAAGCCAGCCTGACCAACATGATGAAACCCTCTCTCTACCAAAAATACAAAAAATTAGCCGGTGTGGTGGCAGACACCTGTGATCCCAGCTATTCGGGAGGCTGAGGCAGGAGGATTGCTTGAACCTGGGAGGCAGAGGTTGCAGTGAGCTGAGATCACACCACAGCATTCCAGCCTGGGCGACAAAGCGGGACTCTGTCTCAAAAAAAAAAAAAAAAAGAAAGAAAAACACAAAAAAAACCCTATGTGGACTCAACTTCTGTAAATGCTGACTTTTTATTAAATTATCTGTACTCTATTATAAAGTCCATCTGAGGCTGGGGGTGGGGAGTAAAGCATTTGAGGAAAAACCAGTGATCCTACCCAAACGTAAAACCATATATCTCGCATGTGTGCAGAAAAGCTGGACAAAACTACCTGAGTCCTTGATGTGCACTGATTATGCTTCTCCCTTCCATTACAGGCTCAACATGGGAGAAGACATTTCGGCAGATCGGCTTTGAAAGGTAAGCAATGTTTAGCATGCCTCCATTTTAGTTACTCTTGTCCCAATTTATTCTAAGTAATTTATCAATTATAAATCAATAGTCCTGTCACAACCCTTTTGGTAACTGTATGACCTCGATCAAGTCATCATTTTGCCCTCTAAGCCTCAGTTTCTTTGTAGAGCATTACTTTATAAAGCCTTGCCTGCACACAGAGTAGAAATAAAGATGGAATGGAGCAATTAATGTGAAAACGCTTCTTGAACTATAAAACAGTATACGAGGTAAGTTATGTAATTAGAGAATCCTAGCAAATGGTAGACTGTCTCCTAGCTTATATATCATATATCATAATCAGTTCTACAGTTTTAGTACAGAAAAGTTTATATTTGTATTGATGTCCTCCCAACTATTAAAATTGTTAGATTTTATTAGCCTTAAGTGAAAATCTGAGATGATGTTGTTCTTAGCTAAAAGCATCTCTACACCAGCATCTCCCCAAAAGAAACAAAAATAGATTCATTATAACATCAGAAAATGTGCTGGTGGGTCAATGCAGTTTCTTTTTTTTTTTTTTTTAGACAGAGACTTGCTCTGTCACCCAGGCTGCAGTGCAGAGGCATGATCTCGGCTCACTGCAACCTCCGCCTCCTGGGTTCAAGCAATTGTCTTGCCTCAGCCTCCCAAGTAGCTGGGATCTCAGGTGCCCACCACCATACCCGGCTAATTTTTGTATTTTTAGTAGAGTTGGGGTTTCACTATGTTGCTGAGACTGGTCTCGAACTCCTGACCTCAGGTGATCCACCCACCTCTGCCTCCCAAAGTGCTGGGATTACAGGCATGAGCCACTGCACCTGGTTGGTCAATGAAGTTTTTAAACTACCTGCCCTTGGCCTTGAATGGCAGCATTTTGGACAGTTTTCTACCAGTGGCATTTAACATCTTATCTCAAATGTTGAATGTAGATAGAGCTATTAAAAGAAAAAAAGTCATTTTAATTTTATTCTACTCTCTAATTTTATTCACATAGGTTTTGACAAGTCCTTTTATCATACTGAAAATGTATTTTTTTCTGTATGGAACAAGCTGACTGAGCACTTAAAGCACATAAAGGAAATAATAAAACACTCGAAAATGCATTATTTCTTCTGTAGCAATAGTGAATAGCACATCACAGACACATTGTGATAGCACTTTCTTTGCCATTTGTTAATTGATTCAAAGATGATTTATTTCTCTACCTACACTTCCAGTCACATCAGCACCATCATTGTTTGCTATCACAGTAAGTGCTCATAATAATTAAGGTATTTGCAGGCAGTTGATTTTGGATGGTCAGATCCCACAGACCAACTTAAAACAAAGAATGGAAAGATATTCACAGCTTTAGTTCCATGCGAAATCTTTTTCCAAAGCATCTTTCCCTTGATCCTTCCTTCATATTATCAAACATCTTAAAATACACAAAAATAGAGATAATAGCAAAAAAAAAGGTCACTTGTCTGCTCCCCAGCCCCAATAAGTCTTTGCCACACTTACTTTTATTTAATTTTTTTTTGGCTGAAACATTTTAAAGAAGATCTCAGATACTATGTCATTTAATCCCTACATCGCTCAGCATGCATCTGGGCCATTTCTTCCAGAATCTTAGTGCCATCATCATACCTAATACAAATAAATCTTTAGCATCGTTTAATACCTAGTTGATACTGACATTTCCTAATCATGTCAAAAATGTCCTTTGCATTGGTTGTACCAGCATGCTATAGAAGCCCCGACCTTAAGCTTCTTTATTTAGATCAGTGCCTCCCGAGCCCCTCCAGCTTCCTTTCGTTTTTCTTCACATCGTTGACTTCTGAAGAAAGCAGATCAGTTGTCTTACAGAATACTTTACTTTTTGGATTTGTCTGTTTGCAACATTGTTTGTTATTCGAATCCCCTATTTCACGTAAATTCAAATTATTTCACGTAAATTCAAATTATTTCACATTCAGCCTTTGAGAACATGAACGAGTTGACTTCTTGTCCTTTTGACACAGACCCGCCCATCTATAGTTTTCGTGTTTCTGGTACAGCTAGATGGCCCAAGCTCTTCCCCTGCTTCCCCTTGGCTCAGACTTTCCTCCCAGCAGCCATAGACAGTAGGTGTAGCAGTATTTCACTAAAACTTTATTTACAAAGACAGGCAGCAGGCAGGATTTGGTGCTGACTGTCACTTATTGACCTCCACTTGTAGACTTTGGTCATTGCCTTCCAGGAAAAACTCCTGAAGAAACCACATAGGCTACCCATACAGTCATAGCCACACAGCCACCCTAACAGTTCCAGGTTTACCTGGTTCCAAAGACTGAGCTTTTAACACTATACTACATGGCATTCTTGCGTATGTTTAGTTTTGAGCCTATAGTTTCAGCCATTACTTTTCAGTACTTATAGTATGTGTCCATTGAGGGTCTTTGGCGATCATTCTGGTCTTCAGGTGTCTTAACATGTTACCCTGTGTTTTCCATGTCATCTCATGTTTTCTCATTTAAGGGCCGACAGTATTCTGTGCATTGCAACAAGTGTCTTAAAATATAGGACAGATAGTGATCTTTGGGGTTCTTGTACATTTACAGTTGCAAAGACTAAGTGTCAGCAGTACCATTATACATGGCTTGTCTTTCTTCGTCTCAGGTTTAGCCTGTTCTTTCTCTTAAAGGGGAATTCCAATTATATCTTAAATACGGCTACCTGGTTCTTTAAAGCAATTGTAAAAGCTATTGATCCTTTCATCACTATGTTCTTCTTTGAGGTTCATCCATCAACCTGCTTGCCAGCAGATTATTTTAAAGGGATCACATCTAAAGGAAAAGAAGTAACTGAGTCAGCTAAAGCTGCAAAACTTTTTCTCTGAGAATAAAAAAGGCAAAGACGCTTTCTGTTGTGCATTATGTAACTGAAAGGAAGACCTAGAGGACCTGCCCTGCCTACCCTCCCTACAGTCACACTAGATGTGATAGTGGTGGACCTCCCCTGAGATGCTGTTAAGTCATCTCTGGAAACCATGTGATTATATGCATTGTCTCAAGATAAATACACATAGTCACAGTTTATGTGGCTGAACTCATGATAAATGTCATTTTCTCCTTACGAACTATCACATTTTCCCTCTGTGGGGCTACTAGCTTATTTTAGGACTTCATTACAGAAGTGTGCTGTTATCCAGGAAGGAAATCTTGTAATGTAGGTTTGTGTATCTTCTCAGTCACCTCCCACTCCTGGTACCACATTATTGACAGCTACATAACAAAGGCAGGCTTAATTGTTTTTTATTATAGAAAAAAGAACCTGTGCCTAACATATTTTGGTTTCAATCAGCTCACCTTTCTGTGCAGATTTTCTAAGCTTACAATTATAAATATTTCCAAATCACAGTCATTTATTAGTCTAGGATAGAGTGATGCCAGGTGGGCGGGCATGGTTTTGTAAATTTATGGACACCCTGCCTGTGCTAATCATGTGTAATCAGTGAGGGTGGCTTTGAAACCAAAAAGCTTTGGAGCTAAAATGGCCCGAATTCTTGGTGGCTTAATACAACAAATCTTTCTTTCTCACTCCTGCAAAATCTGATGAGGAGAATAGACAACTCTATGAAGCAGCTCACCTCCATGGGGGGGTGTCATTGGTGGGTTGCAGTCTCATGGTGCTTTTATCTCAACATGACATTTGAGACAAATACATCATTTTTTTTTTTTGAGACAGAGTCTAGCTCTTGTTGCCCAGGCTTGAGTGCAGTGGCATGACAATCTCAGCTCCCTGCAACCTCTACTTCCGGGATTCAAGCAATTCTACTGCCTCAGCCTCCCAAGTAGCTGGGATTACAAGACCTTGCCACCATGCCCAGCTAATTTTTATATTTTTAGTAGAGACGGGGTTTCGCTATGTTGACCAGGCTAGTTTTGAACTCCTGACCTAGGTGATCCACCCACCTCGGCCTGCCAAAATGCTGGGATTATAGGTATGAGCCACTGTGCCTGGCCCATCTTTCTTAATTCAGTGATTAACCCTGTTCTTATGGTGGCTTTCTGAAATGTGGGCTTCTAAATTCTTTAATTCTTTCAGATAATGCACAAATATTTCTAGGAAGTGTAGCAACCTATTCTGAAGTTATAAAATTTCAAAGTTCACTTAGGCATTGAAAGAGGACTTGAACAATTCCAGACTGGATTTTAAATGTTCCCTCTGGAAGTGCCATTTGTCACCACATCTTACAGTACTCCAGCCTCAGTAACAGAGTGAGACTCCGTAACAGAGTAAGACTCCTTTTCAAGAAAAAAAGACAGAAAGAAAAGAAAGTCCTTATAATATCTATCATAATCATCTCTGAGTGAGTTCTGAACATGGTTTTCTCTATCCAAGACTGCACTTTTTGTCTGAGAAAAAAATATGCCAGCAAGTAAATAGGCTTGGATATAGTAACTTGTCAGCAGAAATAAAAGTTTTTGCTTGCTGGGAGATCATATTGCTGTCTGTTTAAAAATAACAATATTTAACTGATCTCTTGCCCATTTTTAATTAAAAAGCAAAGAAGATATTCTCAGTCAATCTCTGTAATCAGCACAGTGCTTCAGTTTACTTTATGATTAGCATTATTATATGGGATTTTATTTGATGCTCTACTTGGATAGTGGAATGAAATATCTTGCTCCTTCAAAGAACATTTTAAAATAGAAATCATTCTGAAAATAGCCTGCTGCAATGAAACAACAAATATTCCTAGTTTTTTTCCTTTATTGTAATTCAAAAGGTATAGCTCTGTCTTTTGGGGTGATCGCAGCCTTCCATAGCTCTGTCTGTCAGCACGCCCCTTCCCTAGCATCTGTGTTGTCAGAAGTTTCTAACCACCTCTCAAGTTTTAGATACCATTGCTCAGAAAGCCTGTCTTGATGGCTCACTTTCAGGAGCACGGCCTCTTCTCATCATTCTTTTCACATTCTTGAGCATGTGAGGAGGAGACTCTTAATGCCCTGGTGCCCTGG